CGCAATGATTTATAGAGATTTATTAAGCATAGCACAAGGTTGGAAGTATGGATCCCCTAATGAGGTTTGAACACACTATTCAGTTGTAATAGATCTAGCAAGACAAGCTTGATAACCATTACACCATCAGGAATTGGCCCAGTATATATAAACACAGCATGCAGATACTATACACTCATGAGGAGTATATAAATTGATTATAGATAGAGCACACAAATCCTTTGATACTCAGCTCAAGTGCCAATTCATTAATATTAGTAATTGATTATTTTTAAAGAGTACTCTGCTATTTTATGCTTGGGCTGAGTATCAAAGTATTTGTGTGCTCTATCTATAATCAATTTATATACTCCTCATGAGTGTATAGTATCTGCATGCTGTATTAATATATACTGGGCCACTTCCTGATGGTGTAATGGTTATATATATATATATATATATATATATATATATATATATATATATATATATATAGAGAGAGAGAGGAAAGAGATACAGATACAGACATATAAAATTCAAAGTGTTCTTTTAGTCATTCAAGATATTTTATCAAAGAAAAATATATGAAACAAAAGAACTATTACTCATCTTTTGGCATTTCAGAGTATATTTCAGAGTATTTCATGAACGGAAATATCTCACATCTAAAACAGTGCATTATGCCTTCTAATTATCTGTCATCAAAACAATTTCTAGAAATTTCCTTTTCCATGAGCTTAAATTGTGTGCAATTCTCCAACTTTTGCTTTAAATTCTTCAATTTAATTGTTCAATTCCAAAATAACTTTTGAATGTATATTTTTAATAATATCCCAATTTAAAATATATATACAAAATATATATACTAAAAGAAGCAAGTTATGAAATAAACTGATAGATCTTATTTCACTGAAACAGATTAGCTTTGATTCATTTCTAGCCTTAAATTTTTATCTACAGTTTTAAAAATGTCATTAAATTTTTTGTCTAAAAATACTATAAGAACAGTTTGTTTGTTTGCTTCTTCCCATCTTCATTGCTAAGTGTCTTGGATCATGGACAATTTTTATGGTTTTGAATTCAGAATTGTCCTTCTCCTAGATTTGTTGCCACCCATCATTAGAGAGCCTAGTCTGTTCTAATATTTAACACATAGATGGGGGGGGGAGAAGAGATGGATTCCTACCTTTTCCAAGAGTATTTGCATGTAAATAAATGTAATGGACTCAACTGGAATTTGAACTTGTCTCTTCGATTTCTAATTTCAGTCATCTATTCATTAAACCACCTGTACATTCATAAAAGATGTTTACATTAATTATAACATAGAATTGGACTTTAATAAAGTGAATAACTTTAATTGTCAACATTTTACCACTTCATCAAAAGCCCATTCAGTAACAAAGGGAATGAAATTCCCGTATTATAAAAGATATTTGATTTATAAGCAAAACAACTGTAAAAATTAAATGAATAAAGAAAATCTAGTAGTCAGTGAATCATGTTTTTTATTAATATGCATATGTGGCATACCTCTCTCTGCTTTATCGCTACTTCCATGGAAAGTGTTCAGGTAAACTGCATTCCTTGATTCCACGAGTTCTTCATGGCGAGGAACCATCATGCCACTCACATTGTAGTAAACCACCTTCATTCTCCATACTCCAATGGTGAGAAGTAAGTTCCACTTCAGCAACTTCTTCCCGTGAACCACTGCTCTGTGAAGTCGACTCCCAAGAGGATGTTTCCCTGATCACTACAATTTTAACCTGTTCATGTCTCAGATTAAGTATTATCTTCCCCACCTATCAGCATAAACTGTGCCTCTTATTCTGTAACCCTCTACCTTGAATGGCCCCCAGGCCTTGTACAGGTTGAAACTCATTCTGAAAAAAAAAAAATGAAACTCATATTAATGAAAAACAATTTATATTTTTATATTTTCAAATTACTACTACTCCTATTATTATTATTATTAATAATAATATTAATAATAATAATAATAATAATAATAAAGACTGGTGCTTATGACATTTTTCTGTTCATATTTTACTCATTTCATATATAATTTGAATCATAGTCTTAGTTAAATAAATGTTTTATTCAATTGGAAACTGAGGTTGATGATTCCTTGGTTGATAAGATCACACTACATGGTAATATACATATATACATAGCCAATCCATGTTACAGATCCCTGTTCAGGTACATTTGTGTTTATTCAACACCCCCAGGGCTAACTTGATGTTTATAGTGCAACTATGCTGAGCAGAATTTTGTTACAGTTTCTGGAAGAAAGTGTATAATCTAGCATAATCAAGTTTTGAACAATGCCAGTATGTTCAAACCCTCAGTCACAATGCCTTGTGATTTCATGCTAGTGCAACCATCAATGGCTTCCAAACAGTATTGTTTACTCAGTTTCATGCACAAGGCTTGGATCAACCAGTGGTATGATTTTCAAGTAATTTCCAAGAGTGTTATATACTGGGATTGTCTTCCTAAGTCAATATTATCATAATGTCAACTCCTTGACTAATCAATAAGGCAGAAACCAGGTCTCATTGGCAAAACACTAAAATGTTCTATCCACTCAACTATGCATCTACTTATTGGTAGCAGATTACCATCCACTAGCAGTCAATTGTTAGGTCTGCTGCTAGGAAACATGGTTCACTGTGTCAGGATAAACAATTTTTCTTACCCAAATCTTTCTTGCATGTTTTTTAAGATAACCATTTGTCCATGATTTTATATTGCTGCCATATAAGTTCTGGTGCTCCTGCTATATATTTAGAGATCCTCGAAAGGAGAATTTGCAATGTTATTGGTCCTGTCCTGGCATCTTGATTTCAGTCACTTTCCCACCACCATAATTTAGTTTACCTGTATCTTTTCTATAAATATTTTCATTCTGATGAACTTTCCACTATGGCACCTAGACTTTATGAATTTAATTATAATATTAGATTGGTAGCAAGGTCTCATCATTTTACAGTTGAAATGGCTAGATGTAACTAGAAGTTCTATGCTAACAGCTTCTTTTCTCATACTTCTCACTTATGAAATTCTATTCCAGCTTCTTGCTTTTTAAGTCAATTTTGATCTTCAAAAATTTAAATGCAATGTCAATCATTATCTTCTGTCTTCTTAATTTGTGTTCTTTTATTGGTTTTGCTACTTAATAATATCTTTCATTTTTTTATATTCTTTCCTATTCAGAAACCCCTTGCATCTTAGTGGCTTTATTGTCTTGCTTTTGATGAAATGTTTAAAAAATAAACTAACAGGATTCTGTTATAAGACTTCTTCAAAACAGTTAATTATGTGCTGCATTAATAAGATTCCCAATATAGAAGTTTTTAAATTTGTAATTTAGCATGGCTTTTCACCAGATCTTGAAAAGATAAAATTAAGATAGCTTTTGTCAGAAACAAAGAAAAGAGTGATTAACTGTTATGTAATATTGGTCCTCCTCTATGTAAGTGAATGCTGGACAGTCTCCTCACAGATGAAAGCAACAGAAATGTGGTTCTACTGGAGAATACTAAGAATACATGTGAGTAATGAGGAAGTTTTAACTAAAATAAAAAAGACACATACTTAAAATATACTAAAAAGTTGAAATTTCTGTTGTATAATGAGAAAAGAGGGTTTGGAGAATTTTACACTCACAGAACATATTGAACACAAGAGGGAAACAGCAAGTAGGGTAGCTTGTATAAATGGATGGCAGAACAGAAATGGAAATGGATGGATGACATAAAAACAAACCTTACTAAGAGCTACAAAGAATGGGAAGTTGTGGAAAGCCATTATTGAAGAACCCATGATCATAAAAGAAGTCTACCACAGGCATTTGACTAAAAAAATATTTAAATTCTTTTAATTTTTTTGCTTCAATATTTTTTGCAAATCAAACAGATAATAAGCAACTTGAAAAACAATATAACCTTTTATGTTGAGTTAAATTGCATTGGGATATCAAAAGATGTCTTGCAAAAGGTAAGCAAAGTATTAAGAAACAGGAAAATTTAATTAGAAACAATGAAAAGAGTACTGAACTATTACATGATATCAGCCCCTTTATATGGCAGTGAATGCTGGAAAATGATCTCAAAGATGAACAAGAGACTTGAAGCAACAGAAATGCAGTTCTACAGGAGGAGGCTGAGAATATTATGGACCACCAAACATGTGAGCAACGACAGTTTTTGAGAAAATGGAAACAAAAAGGACAATATCAGAAAGAGAAAGTTGAGATTTTGTGGTCCCATAATGAGGAAACAGTGCTTGGAAAGTTTGATACTTACAGGACATATTGAAGACAAGAAAGACAGAGGAAAGCAGCATATAACCATCCTAACAAGCTTGTGTAAATGGATGGCAGAACAAGGTTTAAGAGAGATAACAAAAAGATAAAATATATTAAGAGCTACAAAGGACAGGAAATTGTGGAGAGCCATGATCACCTATTTCCTTTAAGGACAAAGTACATAGAAGAAGAATGATAATAATAATATTAGCTATTTCCTTATATGAAAACAGTTGGCACTCATTGACCAAAGAACCAGGGGGTTCTACTGGCAGTTGAAAGTTATAAAATCTTTCTATTCAAACACTTATTCAGGAAAAAAGGTTTCTCAAGTCCCTGTTATTACACTAACTTCTTAACTTTTTGATCAGAATAGTGTGGAATGTCAGCATCTTGATTATTTTATTTTTTATGTTACATTGAACTGTTGGTTTTTCCTCAAAAGTCCTCCGATGATGTAATCTGTTATTTTGCACAATTGTTTTATAATTCTATCATGCCTGTTCATGAGGTTTGAAAAAGGATGCTTCTTATTAAGCTATACAGGCTTCATTCACTCAAACCCATTTTTAATCAGTGATCTGAAAAAGTTGTTATATGAAATTAACAGTTCATATATTTTTGAATGGGTTGGGTACAATGCATAACAATGGGTTGGGTATATGATATTGTCTCTATCTGACAAGGCTATTTAAGAAGATTAGCTTATGACTATATCAAGTTGAAACACCAGTACCTGTATGATCACCAGAGTTAAGCAACATTGAGCCTGGTCAATACCTAAATGGGTGACTGCTTGGGAATACCAGGTGCTTCAAGCTTGGATGTGCAGGTGGTATAATAGATAATGGCTCAGAATTGTTAATCAGAGAGCTGAGTTCCTATTCCCATTGGTTTTGTTATATTCACATACAGGCAAACATCCTCAGGAAAGGTATGAATCCACCTCTTATCCCCCCAGCTATGTGTTAATTAGTAAGAGTAGTATCACTAAACCATTGTTACCCTAAAAAAATCTTAAAATATTTTCCTGCCTTAAATAACCTGCAAATGGTTGATAAACCATAGAAAACAAATCAATAGTTAAGAACATTAAGTTTAAGGATTTGGTTTTGTAGCATTGTGTAGTGTTGGATTACTCTTAGTTCAGATTATTCTGTGTTTATTTTTGTTATAACTAATCCATACATGGTTGTATCTGAGGTTAAAAAAAATACAAGAAATTATTTCAATCAAATTCTTGCTTAACATGCTATTTAACTGCCGCATTCAGAATTTTTTTTTCTGCTTTTATAAAAGAAGTGGACATTAAAAAATTATTTATTCATGATTGAAATGTGCTCTTTAAAATCTCTTTTGCAAAAGAGAAATATATAAAATAAAACAACTGTATTTAAAAAAAAGCAAAAATCATTGTTTTTTTTTTAACTATCATAATAAGGCAAACTATTTATACTTGCTGATTTTTTATTTTAAAAACAAAAATCTCTATCTATAAAAGGCAGGATGTGTGCGTGTGTGTGTGTAACAAATGCATGGCTGCAATTTTCAATGGATTTGCACCAAAATTTACATGCACATACTCCAAGTTAGCGGGAAGGCCAAGACCGACTTTTCATTTTCCAACTCCCATCGATAGTGGAAATAATCAATTTTTCATGCTTCTACGGCAGTTTTCATGTAGTTTGCTGCCATTTTGTACTGGCCAGAGTGAGAGCCAATAGCTGGCTGCCACGAATAGGCAGGAAGATTCTATTGGCCAGTGTGAGAGCCAACAGCTGACTGGCACGAATGTTAACTAGCATGCTAGCATGCAAAAAAAATCAATAGCTGTATTCATCACAAGTGGGAAAAATTTAAATCTGCATGGCACTTTACTCCAATTGGCTCATTCGCTTGCTTAAACTCAACATTGATTCTGATTCCGCAGAACTGGGTTGGGTGTGAAAAAGTATTTGTTGTTAACATTCTTCTTTCATTTGGTTTTTCCAGTGCTGAGTCCTTTTTTAAAGCTGATCGTTTTGTGTTCATTTTGTTTAGTTCTTTTTTTGTAACAGATTTAATGTTTAGAGTTTAGAAAAATTTGCAGTGTGAGATAGGCAAGAAGTAAGGCATGTAGCAACATCAGCATGGCAAAGGGCACTCCTTTAAAGACAAGGAAGGACAAAATGATTTTAAGTCAAGTGATAGCGATTGCTGTATGAGTCGTCAGATTTTTTAATCAAGCATGGCCAACGCCGGGTCATGCTGCTAGTTTAATTATAAAAGCTAGAAATTAAACACATGCATCTTGCAATCAGTTCTTTATTTTAGAAACCTAAAACAGAAGATCATTTTAAAAGTAACAAAAACAAATCTTTACCTTTTAAAATCAAATGACTAAAAGAGAAATACTAGTCTATCTATAATAAATTTTATCTCAAATACCTGGTTGGGGCATTAGTTGACTTCCTGCTAAGACGGGAATAAATAGATCTACCATCATAGATACTGAGTTGAGAACTGTTGATATCAGGAAGGTCAATGATGAAAATTAGGAACAAGGAAGGTTCAAGTATAGAGACCTGGGAAACACCAGCATTAATGCAAAAAGATCTAGAAGAGTGGCCATTCAAGAAATCTCTCATTTTGTAATTTGATAAGAAAAACTAAATCAGTTCAAAAATTTGGTCATATATCATAACCTTTCAACTTGTGAAAATGACCAGTATGCCAAACCCGGGAATGTACAAAGCAACAGCCTGAGCTTCAACATTCTTATCTAAAGCTTGATAGACTCTTTCAGCAATAATCATTATTACAACAGCTGTTGACCTAGACAAGCAAAAGCCATATTGATTATCTGCAAAGTGAGAACCAGTTCAGAATTAATTAGTCTCAAGTACTTTGCCAAAAAGAGGTAGAAGGCTAACAGACTGATAGAAGGATCAGACAGTTCACCTCAGTTAAGAGAGAACAGGAGCCAGTTCAAGGGCACATTTATTTAGGACTATTGCAGGGATACCATCAAGTCTACATGGTTTGTGAGGAATTAGTTTAGAGATAACAGTAGAAATCATAGACAAAATTATATGCTTCTCACTCAAGGGAGACTTATTTACAAGATTATAAAAATATGTGAACAAAGTACAATGCAATATTTATTATTTATTTTTTATAAAGATGTATTATTTACCATTTTATAAAAAAAAAATGCATCTGAAAGCAAATCTTTTTATTCAGAAATTTGTAAAATATTATAAAACTAACAAAATATATAAAACATTTACAATGCAAAATTTATTATTTGCCATTTTATAAATAACTAAGAAAACATGTTTTGTTCATAATTTTATAAAAATATCAATGAACTATTGTTGTAAATTCTCAAGAATAAAGAAAAGTGTATAAATCATTTCATATGTTTGGTTCTATTAAAATTCTAATCATCACTTTTTAAAACAATAAACATTGCCAAGGAAGTCAAAAGTACTAGTAATAGCAGTGTTAATGGAATAACCATACTGAAATTATCAAGTGGTCACCCATCTTGCTTAGCTTCTGTTTTATAAGAGTAAGTGTCATTGCCGACAATGTGCTTTGAAACTAGATCACCAGTGAATAACACAAGTGATTCCATTAAGTATTAAGTTGATCATGTGGTCATAAAGGAAGTGAATAAATAGGAAGTAGCATGATGACTATATGATCACTGTTTATTTTTCTTGTCTATCTACTGTTGCTATACATTCACACTCTCTACTCTACCTCTATACGGATTACAATTCTTTTCTGATTATTATACTATTTGGCGATTACTACCTGAACAAGTATTCCTAGTGCTGATATCATTGGAAGGCATTACTACTAGTACCGGTGTCTACGAAGTTTCAAATATAACAAGCATATTTGGAAGTGATAACGAGCTTTCACTTGACAAAAAAGTGACAAGCGAAGCCATCTAACATTTGTAATAGCAGTGTTAATGGCATAATCATCCTTTTAACACACCATTTTTTTTTTTTTTGGCATGAAGGTTAAACATTTCTCAAATTTCTTTCCTAAAACAGAAATGCAAATAAAGATGAATAAATTAATCCATACAAAACACTGAGCTCCATAATGTTTTAAGGGAGAAAAATTGGATGAAGTTGTAAGGAAAATTCAAGCATGCCAGCCATTCTCTTCTTACTGTTGTTTTTTTTTTTTTTTTCACATTGGCTTTATTGTTAATTTTGTTGAGGAATGGGAAGATTTCCTTTCCATCCATGACAATGTCCATGCTAATATTTGTGCTCTGTGTCTATGATTTGATTCCATTTATCTAAAAATGGTAAGAAGAATTATTGATTATATAAAAGATATGATGCTGTCTTTTTATTTATCTTATTTTATATGTTGTGCTATATTTTGTCAATTTTTTAAAAGCCTCTACATGAATATTATAATCTATCATATGCTATATTTTAATGTCAAAATAAATTTCCCCAAAAAATAAAAAATCAAAGTTTTAGCTTATTTCTTTTATTAATGTTGTGTATAACTCCATCAAAGAGGATAAAACAAAAGAAATGTAATTGTATAAAAGGGCACTGAAAAGTTCTAAATACAACCAATTTCCCTGATTATTATTCAGATCTTGATCATCCTCAAATTAACTCTTCTGATCACTTCTTTCCAACCATTTCTGTCATTCATAGCTTGACTTGGTTCTTTCTTTCTGATCCCAGTGTCATCTATAAGTTAAGGGATCAAGGTTCTTGTTGGCCTACCACTTGATCTTTTCCTATTATATGAATTCCATAGTATAAGCTGATGCATATTTACTTGGTTATTTCTCAAGCAATGGCCACTAAACCATACTTACCTTTCACAGAACATGTTCATCATTCTTAGTACGTCCTCATACAGATCTTCATTAGGTATATGTTGTTTTCAGCTAACATTTAACACTGCTCTCAGTAGTCAAGTGTATATACTAATATAGTTTGGGGGCCAGTAATTTTGTTAATGTCCAATTGCTTGACCTGTATAAGAGGATTATTTCTCAGTCAGTCAGTTAATTGTCATACATGATAACACTTGGGCAATCATGTCTCTTTTGATTCATGACTCACTTGGCAAAAGATTTTCCTGCAGTAGTCTGCCATTTCTTTTTGCGGTAGACGAGTTTCCTACCAAAGCTATAGGATCCAATCTGTCCTGTTATTCAACCCATATCTGTGGGGAGAAGAAATGGATTTATATCTTCCCCAGGAGTATTTGTGAGTAAGTAAATGTAATGAACTCAACTGGAATTCAAACTTTGCTCTCCAATTTCTTATTCTTTGTTGGTATCAATTGTTGAAAAAAAAATGGTGCTTAAAGATAAAAATATTAATTTTGAAATGCTTAAAAATATTTTCCTTTTGTATTCTTTGTTTGATTTAACTGGTAAGCTTACTCAAGAATCTATTCTAATAATCTATGTCAAGCTGCTGTGACAAGATCATCAGATAATCTCACCAAAATTAAAAGATGAGAACAGTAGAAGATGACACAAAGAACAGAAGAAAAGTTTTCTCTTTGTGTCGCATCCTTAAAGAATATGGCACAAAGAAGAATAAATCTCCACAACTTCTATTCTTCACAGCTTTTAGTAAAGTTTTTCTTTTTCCTATCTTTTCATTCTCTGTTCTGCAATCGATGTACACAAGTTTGTTTGATAGTTTACTCACTGTTTTCCTCTGTTCCTCTTGCTTTCAATATGTCCTGTGAGTATCAAATTCTCTGAGCGCTCTTTCCTAATTATCTGTTCTAAAACATTCAACCATCTCTTATAGTAAATATAAGCATTTT